TCAAAGGTTGTGTTGGTTTTTTATAGACTAATTTACGGAAAAATTGGAAGGGATTAATTCTTAAAGACCATTGGTCAAAATCATGGTAACTCCCCCCCGCAAGGGTCATAGAAAATTGACTGGTTCAAAAGGTCATAAACTCTCATACCAACCGAAAAGGACGAAAGGATATTGGGTTTAAGCTAAGCGGATAGATAATTCTTAGGGAGGAGGCGTTAACCTTTGACTTAAGTCGGAAACTTGGCTATGTGAAAGGTCGGGAACAAACAAGGTGGGAATTTTACTAGGCCTTGGGCGGAGTTTCCGCCATTGTCGCCAACTTCAAGATAAACTATAATTTACTAGATTTGATGATAATCTTAAGATGATTTAAAAGTAACAAAGGTTGCCTAATGATTGAATCGACTGTTTTTATATCTGGTTATTAAATCATATTAACTGAGTTTGATTTTATTGGGCATTCCCTTGGTTCAAACCATGCTTAGAATTTTTATCCATCTACACTTAATTTATATTGGCTGATCGAGACTTATCTTTTAATAAGCAGCCACGCTTTCATATTAACAATACAATCTACCTAATCTTACGTCTTATTTCTAGTCTATAATCTCCTATTTCTAATCTATAATCTCCATTTTTATAAGTTTAGTTTTCAACTGAATCAATTCGTTACTTTCTTTAATTATATTAATTTTATTATATTTTTGACGCTTTTCATTTACTTCAAAACTTCTTCGTTTAAAGAAAGTGTTGCTGCCATATGTTTGGCGGCTTTGGCAAAATAAAGATAGCCTGCAATATGGATTTATGGCTTTATGGCCTCTATTTGAATTTTCTTTAAGCACGACCCTATAAATTTGTTTTTGACGTTACATTTGAAATCCGTTTCAAAATTACTTATTTCGCACATGTTAAAGCTTTCTAAACCTTTCTAAGAAACTCTTAATTTTTGGTCTTTCCAAGAAATATTTTAACGGTTTTTTTCCACTTTCTCCCTGTTACATCACTCCCCCCTTTTTAAACGAATCAATTTAAAACACAACCAAGAACAACCTAACAAATTGAGATTCGTTAAAAAACTAAGTTTCCTACGCTAAAACATTTAATTGTCCTGACTAAAACTAATACCATTTCCTTCACGGGAACTTATGTTTTTTCTTCTCTTCTTTCTTCTTGTTTCAAATGATTCTTCGTTTTACTTTAATTTCCTTCGGTTTCATATTTCTTCCTTACTGCTGGTTTTGTACTCTATAAAATTGGCTCGGTGGTGACGATGTTGATGATACTTTGGTTATACCAGTTTTCCTGCTCCTATGTCTGATCTTCCTGCTTGATCTGTGTGGTTTTCTGCTCGTATTACACTGATTATAGTTTTTTATAGTTCTTCTTGGTCCCTTGTTGCTGCAACTTCATAAAGTATGTGTTTGGTGGTTAACACATATCTCTTGTCCAATGGATGCGCGTACTTTCCGAGACTGTTGGAAAACGCGCTAACATGAAAGTGCATCTTCGATTGAGGTGGTGACTGCTTCATTTTATTAAGCAGTCATATGGATTGCTGAATTCTCTGGTGGTACGAGTTGGTTGCATCTCTTGTAGCTATGGACACTGGGCTGGCTCGGATTTTGTTGGGTCCTTGCAATGTCATCTTGATTTTTCTATTGATGGCTTTCATGGATAATAACATTAGAATTGAAAAATACGTCTAAAACATTCCAAAAAACAACGAAATAAATATTTTGATTAATTTAGAATAACGATAATCATATTCTTCTCTTATTATCGATCCACGGTAGATTTTCTGCTATCCCTCTGCTTCTCAAAACCATTGGATGTTTATCGGTTGACTTTGCTTTGGCTTTTGGAGTCGTCATGGAGAAGTCTAAAGTGGCAGTTGGAATGGTCAATGGTACCAACTTTGATGAACTTCCTTGATGACTAGGACCTGCAGGATAATATTCGCTGGAAAGTAAATTTGAATTAGTAGTTGTTTCGGAAGAGACTCCGTTGTCTCTTCCTGGGAAATTTCCTGCACTGGGCCTCTGCACTTCCGGCTTATTACTTATTGGTTGCTCGCGTGTTTCCTTGGATTGTTCTTCTGTGTATAAACTTATCATTGGGTAATTTAACTCACTTGGTTGTCTTGCCTTCATAGGTGTATTACCTAGTTGATTAATTTGATCTTCGGTGGCAAGACATAATTTCAACCTGTTAACATGTACTTTGTCAAATTTATTTCCATGTATTTCTTGTACTTCCGCAGTCACATTATTTAATTTAACTATTCTATATGGTCCTTTCCATCTCTTTGTTAAAAAGACTTTTTCCGTATTACTCTCTATCATTGCAATGGCATTCTTATGCGCTATCTTCATTCTATTTAAAAACTCTGAGACATAATTTTCATCACTATCATACTTAACTTGCAGCGTTATGAGTCGACGAACAATACGACGCTACAGCATAAGGTAGCCAAATATCCCAATCTCTGTGATTTGGCTGAATATAGTGCGACAGTAAATCTTTTAGCGTTCTATGAAATCTTTCTAACGCTCCATTGCATTGTGGTCTATATGCAGTTGTTTTGAGATGTTTAATTTTTAAAATTGTACACATTTTTTCAAATAATTTTGAGGTGAAATTAGTACCTAAATCAGTAAGCAAATGTTTTGGCGTTCCATGCCTCAAAATTATACCTGTTATGAATGTTCTAGCTACCGTATCTGCTGTTTGGTCTTTCATTGGAAACGCTTCTACATACTTAGTTAATGCATCTTGAATAGTTAGTATGTATCTATTATGTTGATCCGTTTTTTTCCACTTTCTCCCTGTTACAAGTTCCTGAGGGGTGGAAACTGAGTCAAATTGCAAGCGAGGATTGGCTTACAGCTTTTTTAAAACGAAACCCAAATTTGTCAATACGCACACCTGAATCAACAAGCTTGGCAAGAGCAATGAATTTTAATCAGGAAAATGTCAAGAAATTTTTTGATAATCTTGTTGATGTTTTAAACAGATATAATTTTAAACCCAATAACATTTACAATGTCGATGAAACCGGGTGCACTACAGTTCAAAAACCCAATAAAATCATAGCCAAAAAGGGTGTAAAACAGGTGGGTGCAATAACGTCGCAAGAAAGGGGTACGTTAATTACAGTCTGTGTAGCTGTGAATGCACTAGGCAACAGTGTACCACCTATATTTATCTTTCCCTTAAAGAGATATCACGAGCATTTGATAAGAGATGGCCCGCCCGGTTGCATTGGAACTGGGAAAAAGAGTGGTTGGATGCAGGAAGAAGATTTCTTACTTTTTATTAAAAACTTCGCAAATTACAAAACGCCAAATAAAACAAACAGAGTCCTACTTATTTTAGACAACCATAGCTCACATTTATCTATTGTTGTTATTAATTTTTGCAGAAAAAACTACATAACATTACTTTCATTTCCACCACACACATCACATAAATTACAACCCCTAGATTTTGTTTAATAATGAATGTGATCAATGGATGAAGATGAACCCTGGAAAGCGAATGAATATTTATAATATTCCCGCCCTCGTAAGAGAAGCTTTGCCACTAGCTATAACCCCCAAAAACATCTCTGCTGGTTTTAGATGCTCAGGAATATTGCCCCTCAATAGGAATATCTTTACTAATGATAATTTTGCACCTTGTAGTGTAACTGATAGATCCACTAAGGAAGTAGAAGTGGAAAACCCTTTAGAAAATCTAGTAGATAACATAATCGACCCTCAACCCAGCACTTTAAGAAAACCCTCAACCCCTCCACGACCTTTCAATGCTAAAGACATAGTACCATTACCTCCTACGAAAGCTGTATACACCTAAGAGCAAATACGTCCCCTGCCCAAGGCAGATTTTACCAACCCAAAAAGCACTAAATCAAGGGTAAAAGGAAAAACAGCAGTTCTCACCGACACGCCTGAAAAGAAAATTTTAGAAGAAAGGTACAACCAGAGAAAAGTATTATCTATCAAGAAAAAAACTGTGGCCGCTAAAAAATAGAAGAAAATCAAGAAGATCGCCAAAGAGAAAAAGATCCGCGAAAAAGATACGTAATCATCTGAGGATGATACTTCTTGTTTAATTTGCTGTGGTCCTTACTACCGAAGTAAGGAGGACTGGCTGCAGTGTAGACTATGTGAAGGGTGGGCTCACTCTTCGTGTGCTAAGAACAACTCCCTATTTATTTGTAATAATTGTGCATCATCAGATGATGACTAACTTTGCCTAACATGTTTTGTATACGCCCTACTTAGTTTTATATTTATAAGTATTCTCTATTTTCATATTTCTGTTTAATAACTTTAATATTTAGACTTTATGCAAATAAACTACCACTTAAGTGTATCCTTACATCTTTTCATACCCCCGTTACAATTGACACTTCATGTCACCAATATGGTGTCAATAGTAACATTTGGTTTTTGACCATATTTTTTTTTTAGGATAATCCAATTTTAGTCTATCAAATATGAGTATGGCATTTTGTTCTCAAAATATGTAGCTACAATTTTATATTTTTATCCCTATAGTTGATAATTACTGTAGCGGATAAAAAATTATATTAAATTTTGTTACAATTGATACCGGTCTCATCGCATCGCTAATGTGGATTTAGCAGCAGTTGGAGCTAAATACCACAAACAATGTTAGGATAGTTTGCGCCTTACGATTAGCGGGCCCGTCACGTCCAATACACGATTGTCAGATCAAATTAACTCATCAACGGACGATATATTTGCTTATATGGAGGGCAACTAAGATTCGCAATTTACTTTGCAAGAATTAAAAGATATAATTAAAGGGTACATAATAATTACAGCAAAGCCAAAGGCAGTGACAATTATTAGTTTTCGTGAAGTTCACACAACTATTTTGTCGAACGCATGGTATGAAAAAAAAAAGCTTGTCTAGTAGAGCAACGTCTGGAAATTATTAATGCCACAGTAGCCATTCTCTGTGAAGATATGTGTTCCATTCTAACAAATACTGACTCGTATCAGATGTTTCACGATCTAAATAGAGAAGTTCCTAATAGTTTAATGCGCCTTACGCAGAAAGTACTATTAAAAATCAAGAAAGGTAACGTCGAGCAGACTGCTAAGCGACCACGTTCGTTCAAATCACAGATTGGGCTTTCTGTATGTCTTCACCGGCGCTTTGGTTCAAGGCGACTTGACATTGCAGAACATCGTTGGTATCACTTTTAATCAGATTAAATTTAAGCTTTCCACGAGTTTTACCGTTGTCATCAGTAAGATAATCTGGTACGCTGCACGATTGCAAAGTCGCCGTCGACCCATTCCTCCTTTAACAACGAATATATATTCAAAAAAAATTCGAAGAAAACTTGCAAGAGTCAGAAGAACATCCAAATCTGCACTATACAAATGCTTCCAAGCTGTAGCTGACGCTGACACCAGTGACGATGACAACACGGTATACATTGTTGACGGAGGATTTCTTTTGCACCGTGTCGTTTGGCATACGAATGAAACGTTCTCTTCTATTTTGAAAAAATATGTGACACACCTTTTGAATCATTAAGGTTGTTGTTTTTGATGGTTATGCTGACAGCACCAAAAACATAAAAGGAGTGGAACAACGTCGACGAGCTGCAGTTGCTTCAACATCCTCATGCGCGGTACGGTTTAATGAAGCGATGGACGCGCCAATTAGCCAAGAAAAGTTCATTAGCAATATTTTCAATAGGAAGCAATGGATCGATATGCTTACACAATTATTGGGGGAAGCCAACATCGAGGTGAAGCAAGCTCGGGATGATGCTGACGTCCTCATTGTTGAGACAGCTATTGAATGATCAGGGGAAAACAGTGTGGTCATTGTTGGAAAAGACGTTGATTTATTGGTCATTTTACTAGGACGTACAAACTTCCCATCAAAATATCACTTTAAAGACACCCGGAAAAGGAAACTTTGAAACAAAAACGTTTTCCACTGCTAGCCTCAATAAATATCCATTGTCGACAGAATATTTTGGTTTTACATGCTCTCACAGGATGCGATACAACGTCCGCCTTATTTAACAAAGGCAAAACCAAAGTATTTAAAATGTTTGACTTATACAAAGCAGCACAAATATTCCAACAAGAAAATTGCTCAGTAGCCGAAATAATTTATAATGGAACCAAGTTAATTCTGGCTATATACGGTGCTCCCACAACAGAAACCTCTTTAGACAACTATAGGTATTTGACCTTTGCTAAGTCAACAAAACTAGGAAATGCTGTAAAATTGTCTTCACTCCCGCCGACATCTTCAGCAGCACAACAGCATTTGTGAAGAGTATACTACCAAGTTCAAACTTGGAAGGGAAATGACTTTGATCCTGAACAGTGGGGATTGATTAGGAAAAATTACATGTTGGAGCCGTTTCCAACGCAGTTACCACCTGCACCGCAAATATTACTGAATGCCATTTTTTGTAAATGTGCAAAGGGTTGCGGTAAAAATTGTGGATGCCGGAAAGCCGGACTAAAATGTTCCACTGCTTGTGGATATTACCATGGGCAATCGTGTCTCAATGTTGAGGCAACGTCCTCTGACGTTCAGATCAATGATGATATGGAGGACATTCCTTTATTTGAACTACGGTCGGACGATGAGGGATATACCAATGAATGTGATTAAAACCAACCCAAATTTTTTATTTTTTTTGTCATTATTTTTCCGGCTATATAAAGTTTTTATTTTTATCAACGGCTAAATATCTCAAGAACGGTTAGGCTTATTTACGTCAAATATTTTTTTCTACGACGACTATGCTAAAATCACATTTTGTAATGGCATCGTTGCTAAGAAAATAAATCTTTTCATTGGCAAGGCAAAACTCGAATGTAAAGTGACATTTCTGTGTGAAAAGAACAGCGGTCAAACACGTTTTTAGGTTATTTTGTATTTAAAAATTATATTAAAAAATAAAAGGATCGTAAAAATATATTGTGTTTTACATGTAAGAAAAGCATTTTCTCCTGCTCGTATTAATGCACACAGCCTAAAGGCTCGCATGAAAAAGTCGCTTTCCAACACTTAAAAAAACGAAAACAAATAACTATTTTCTAGTATTAAAAATTGAGATCTTCAAATTTTGTATTGGGTGTTTTCAAGTTAAAGCGATAGGAATAGAGATAACAAAATCCGCGACCTTTGACCTCTCATATTTCAAAAAGCACCTGTGCTTCCGTGACGTATCTTTTAGACGTAAATCAATACATCATAATAAGCAGTTTAAAAGAAAAAAATTACGGTGAGGTCAATTTTTAGAAGATTGCATGATTTTTAACCTAATTGTCCTGGATTATAAAGTGGATCACTATATAAATATAAAAAAATAGGTCATTGAAAGAGTTACAATATGGGCAAGTGGTCAATAAGCTCTGATCATAGCTGAATAACCAAGAAATCTACATTCCAAGTTTCAGGCAAAAATTTCGAATAGTTTTGTAACTAATTTGAAAAAACTGATATTTTTTATCCATTCAGCCCCGGTTGATGGTTTTACTTAAATTTAATAGGAATACAAGCGTATTCCGTGCAACCCTTTTCGTAACAAAACGCCGCGCAAGTAGCGCAGGGTTAAATAACCAAGTGCGTAATATTTTAAGATAAATAGGTTTTTATCCAGGTTAAAAAGTAAATTTTTGTATCCGATCTGCGAAATGTCGAAATCAATAACGTAAAAATTTGAATAAAAAATTAATTATTCCTTATAGTTTTAAATTTCGGAATCTGAGTGAGCCATAGGCCAGCCATAGCCAAGGTATGTAGTCACATACGTTTGTAAAATGCATTCGATCTAAAGAAAACCAACTAGAAAGGGATTTGATAACCAACCAAGAGCAAGATAATTTGGATTTGATGATTCTACAAAATCAGACAGCAATAGGACAAGTGAAAGTAAGATTTTAGTCAATATTAAATAGATTCTTATTGCTTAATTTCAGCACCAGCTTTTAATGGCAGTACAAATTTAAATAACGGTTTAGTGGAAAAACTGATAAAAATAAGCTTAAGAAACAACAAGTTATTAAAAGAACATTCTGTTATGTTAAAAAAATGTCTATTAAGTTTAACCTGATTGGACATGAAGCCCTAAATGAGGGGAATTAGCAATTTGCAGAGTACTTTAAAAAGTATTTTCCAATTTTTGAGGATGCAAATATTACAAAAGTAAATAAACACTTTAAGGAAAAACCCGAGTTTTTTAATTATGCTGTAAGTGCTCAATTTTATTTTATTTTCCCTGCTTACCTATGTTTTTACAGGTTAGAATACTAGCTTTAGAGGGTGGAAATAATAACACTGATACAAAATTAAGGTTTGCGAAAGGGAATGGAATAAGACCAAAAGCAAATGAAAGTTAATACTTTCCACAAAAGAAAACCCTATCAGGGTTTTATATCACGTCTCAGTTATTTTTTGTACGCATTTAACGATGGTAAATTTTTTGACACCCTATAGTAGGAAAAACATAAGTAAAACTATATTAATTTTTCAAAATAATTTTGGCAATTTGATCGAGGAACCCATTTGTGATGTTAATTTTTACCAAAGACCCTCAGAAGAGGACGCTTTCAAAAAATGTTTGCTACTTTTTACGTATTTTTATTGGTAAAATGGTATTTTTACTATTTTTGAAGGTGAGTAATCCATTTTTCTCATCCGTTTGTTGTAAAATATACCCTAGGTAATATTCGAAAGCAAGTTTTAATATTTTTAATATATTAGTATAGAAAATAGCATTTTTACGAAAAAATTGACTTCTTAAACTAAACATTATTAAATTCGCTATTTTATTTATATTTAAAAACTATCACTCTGTAACCGGCAGTAACAAGAGTTGAAGTACCAAAAGTTCCAGCTGTTCATTCAAAAATAAAAAAATTACCTTAATTATACCTCAACATTGGAACACCAAATTTTACTTCTTTTTCTTTTGTGAGAAATTAATTAAATTGTTATTACAAGTTCTGCAAACTTTTCAACATATTCAATTATATGTATTCCGTAATATTGTAGGTATAATTGTTTTGCATTTTCATATTTTGGAACTAAGTTTTGTTTTATATTATATTGTCCACATATATAACAAAAATATTTTAAATGCTTTAAACATTCATTCATTTTTAACTTTAATTAGTTTAATTAAATATATTAATTAACAAGAACGTTTTATGTTGCTGTCACTAATTTACTATATAGTACATATGTGTTTTTAAGTAAACAAATTTTACCTTTAAACAACGTCGTTTTTGCTACAAAAATTACAATTTTTTGTAGTAATAATATTTTTGCAAAAGGGCGAATACGCCAAATTAACGATTTTGAGGTTTATGCACGAAACAATATGTACATGCTGTAGGATCATTCTGGCAAAGGGACGAATGTACATATATAATGGATTATATATTATATATATACACACACCGCAATGGTCTACGGATATTGGTTAAATATTGATTAAAAACTGCACACTTCATTTTCAAACTATAAAAATTGTATCAAACTGGTCCTGTTAGTATACATTAGAGTTTTATTATATCGTATATAAATTTTTTAAAGAAAAACAGTAGATAAAAACTTGTAACTTAATCCATCCATTTTAACCAAAAAAATTACAATCGTTTTTGTAAGAAATACCAAAGAATGTGGCCTTTTTTTGTTAGTATCGATTGTGATAGAACTTAGTACACCTTAAGTAACGATGCAAAGACAACATCTCTCACGTGATCAAATGCTACGAGCAGTTGGAATGCTCGAAAGTGGTTTCAGGCAAATTGATGTTGCGGAGGCTTTGCAAACAACCCAAAGTGTGATATCGCGATTATGGGCTCGTTATCGTGACTGGGGTGATTTGCCGAAAGACATCCAGGGCCGCCAAGAATAACAAACCGGGTTCAAGATCGTTCATTGTTCGAATGGCAAGGCGTATCCCTACTATAACGGTTACGCAAATAATGAATGAAGTCCAAGAAACCCACAACATTCAAATAGGCAATAGTACCACCAGGAATAGATTACGCGAAGGTGGTTTAAGAAGTAGACGCCTCTTGAGATGTCAGCCTTTACCTAGAGGGAATCGCGCTGCACATTTAGATTGTGTAAGAGAACGTGAAAATTGGCAAGAAGATCAGTGGGCCCAGATTCTTTTTACAGGCGAATCACGCTATGGATTGTATCCGGATTCCAGAAGAGTAAGGGAGTGAAGGCAACCTGGCTAAGAGGCAGTTCTGGAAAATATTCAGGAGGTCCACAGTTATAGAGGTGGTAATGTGATGGTATGGGCGGGTATATGTTTGGACGGAAGAACTGATCTCGTTTTGGTAGAACATTTTTTGAATGCTGAACGATATGTGGAAGAAATTCTTGAACCAATTGTGCTACCCCACGCAAATATTGTTGGACGAAATTTTGTTTTGATGCATGACAATGCTCGTCCACACGTTGCAAGAAACATAAGACGCTGGTTAGACCAACATCAAATATCCGTTTTACCCTGGCCTGCTCAATCACCCGACCTCAATCCCATTGAGCATGCATGGGATATGCTCCAGAGAAGACTTTTAGACGAAAATGCTCAATTTCAGAATCGTGAACAGCTTTTTGGAGCATTAAGGGCGGTATGGAGACGTTTACCTCAAGAAGACTTGGACAATTTAATTCTGAGTACTTATGCCGAGAAAAAATTGTTTTGCTTGTTAACTTTATTTTTAAATTTAATTTTTTGTTATATTTTAATTATTTAGAATTAATTAATTACCAGTATGATTATTTCGATAAATGTTTTTAAACAAAAAAATT